AATTGAAATATAACTCATGTATCATAAAATTCAACCTTTTCAAATTCAGTAGATTTTAGTATATTTACGAGATTGTGCAACCATCACCACTGTCTAATTCCAGAACATTTTTATCATCACAAAAAGAAATCCCATACCTGTTAGCAGTCACTCCCGTCTCCCCTTCCCCTGGCAACCACTAATCTACTTTCTGTCTCTATGGATTTGCCTGTTCTGAATTAAATGGAATCACACAATATGTGACCTTTTGTGTCTGGCTTCTTTCACTTAGTGTAGTGTTTTCAAGTTCATCCATGTTGCAGCATGTATCAGTACTTCATTTCTTTTTATGGACAAATAATATTCCATTGCATGGCTAATACCACATTTTCTTTATCCATTCATCAATTGATGGACATTTGGGTTGTTTCTGCTTTTTGGCTATTATGAATAATGCTGCTGTGAACCTTCACATGCAAGTTTTGTGTGTGTGTGTGGGAGCATGTTTTTTATTTTCTTGGGTATATACCTAGGAGTGAAATGCTGGGTTATATGGTAATTCTATGTTTAACTTCTTGAGAAACTGCCAGACTGTTTTCCAAAGTGGCTACACCTTTTTGTATTCCCACCAGCAATATATGAGGATTCCAATTTCTCCACGTTCTTGCAAACACTTGTTATGGTTTGCCTTTTTGATTATAGCCATCCTAGTGGGTGTGAAGTGGTAACTCCTTATGGTTTTGATTTGCATTTCCATAATGACTAATTATGTTGACCATCTTTTCATGTGTTTATTAGCCATTTGTATATACCTTCTTTGCAGAAATGTTTCTTCAAGTTCTTTGCCCACTTTAAAATTAGGTTATTTGTCTTTTTATTGTTGCATTGTAAGTGTTTATATATTCTGGATACTAGACCCATATCAGATATATGATTTGTACATAATTTCTCCCATTCTGTGGGTTGTCTTTTTACTTTCTTGATAATGTCCTTTGATGCACAAAAGTTTTTAATTTTGATGGAGTCCATTTTATCTATTATTTCTTTTGTTGCTTGTGCCTTTGGTGTCATATATAAAAATCCATTGTCAAATCCAAGATCATGTAGATTTACCCCTATGTTTTCTTCTAAGAGTTTTATGATTTTAGTTATTACATTCAGGTCATTGATTTATTTTGAATGAGGGAGAAGGAGTCCAACTTTTGTTTTTTAGCATGTGGAAATCCAGTTGTCCCAACACCATTTGTTAAAGAGACTATTCTTTCCCCATTGAATGGACTTGGCACCCTTGTCAAAAATCAATGGGTCATAGATGTATAGGTTTATTTCTGGACTCTCAACTCTATTCCATTGGTCTCTATGCCTATCCTTTTGCCAGGACAACACTGTTTTGATTGCTGTAGCTTTTAGTGTGTTTTGAAATCAGAAGTGTGAGTCCTTTGATTTTGTTCTTCTTTTTCAAGATTGTTTTGGCTGTTCTGGGCCTCTTGTAATTCCATATGAATTTGAGGAGCAGCTTTTCCATTTCTGCAAAAAAGGCTGTGGAATTTTGATAGGGATTATGTTGAATCTGTAGATTGCTTTGGGTAGTATTGGTATCTTAACAACATTAAGTCTTCCTGTCCATGATCAAGAGATATCTTTCCATTTATTTAACTTCTTTCAGCAATGTTTTGTAGTTTTCAGTGTACAAGTCTTTCACCTCCTTGGTTAAATTTATTCCTAAATATTTTATTCCTTTGGATGCTATCGTAAATGGAATTGTTTTTGTAATTTCCTTTTGGATTGTTCATTGCTAGTGTATAAAAACAACTGATTTTGTATGTTGATCTTGTACCCTGAAACTCTGCTGAATTTGCTTATTAACTCTAGTAGTGGTTTGTGTGTGTGTGTATTATTCTTTGGGAATATATATACATACATATATATTACAATATTTTATATATTATATATATGTAATCCCAAAGAATCTCTCTCTATATATATAATCATGTCATCTATGAATAGAGATAATTTTACTTCTTCCATTCCATGTGGATGCCTTTTATTTCTTTTTCTTGTCTAATTGATCAGGCTACAACTTTCAGTGTAATGTTGGTAGCTGCGGTGAAAATGGCATCCTTGTCTTATTCCTGATTATCAGGGGAAAGCTTTCAGGATTTCACCATTGAGTATAACGTTAGCTGTGAGTTTTTCATAAATGTATTTTATTGTGTTGAGAAGTTTCACTTCTGTTCCTAGTTTTTATCCTAGTGTTTTTATCATGAAAGCATGTTGGATTTTGTCAAATGTCTTTTCAGTGTCAGTTATGATCATGTGGTTTTTCCCCTTGTTCTATTAATGTGGTGTGTTGTATAGATTGATTTTCCACTGTTGAACTACTCTTCCATTCTTGAGTTAAATCCCACTTGGTCATGGTACATAATGCTTTTATTTATTTATTATTATTATTATTATTATTATTATTATTTTTGTGAGGAGGATCAGCCCTGAGCTAACATCCATGCCAATCCTCCTCTTTTTTGTTGAGGAAGACCGGCTCTGAGCTAACATCTATTGCCAATCCTCCTCCTTTTTTTTTTCCCCAAAGCCCCAGTAGAGAGTTGTATGTCATAGTTGTACATCCTTCTAGTTGCTATATGTGGGACGCGGCCTCAGCGTGGCTGGAGAAGCGGTGCGTCGGTGCGCGCGCCCAGGATCTGAACCCTGGGCCGTCAGTAGCGGAGTGCACGCACTTAACCGCTAAGCCACAGGGCCGGCCCTATAACGCTTTTAATATGCTGTTGGATTCAGTTTCCTAGTATTTTGTTGAAGATTTTTGCATCTACCAGTTACCCAAACTATCCCACCCAAGGCTACTGAAGTCCTTTGGTCTTTAGATCTAATGGTTCCCTTTAGTCCTTAGGCAGTCAACATTGTTGGCTGTCCCTTCCTTTGATATTTGTTATTGTTGACTCTTTTCTCCCTGAAATACTCTTTCTTCTTAGTTTCGGAGGCAGAATACATTTCTAGGTACTCCTCTGTCTCCACTGGAGATTCTTCCTCTGGTCATTCTTTAAGTGTTAGTATTTCTCAGGGATCCTTTAGAAGATCTGAGTGACCCCATCCACACCCAAACCTTGATGATCCTTTAAATGCCAGCAACTCCCAAGTCAGTGTCTCTAGATAAAGCCACTCCTCTGATCTACATTTGGAGCCACCTCCTGAACAACTCCTCTGGAATGTCCCACAGGTAGTGCAGTGCCCAACAGGACTCACAGGTCTTTCACGTTCGGACCTCTGCTTACCTTTGCAGAGACTGGCAAAGGTGTCCAGGGACATTTCAATCTTAAGGAAAGAGGTGCAGCTTTGTATTCAGTTCATTTCATTGGAATCCCAGTTATGCTGGTTTCTAGCTCTCTGTTTAAGCGAATTCCTTACCTTCTTCCTTGTGTCTCTTTTGCCTCATTTGTAAAGTGGAGATGATAATACTTGGTATGAGGATTAATGATAATGAAAAATGATAATGTATGTAAAGGTCTTGACCCATATTAAGTTCTAAATAAACAATACTATTTAGTAATAGTATTGGTCAGACATGGAGGGGTAACATACAAGGGGATGGAAAATAATACGAATTTGTCCATTGTTTCTGCTGACACTGACTTGTGCTCCCACATGTTTTTATGACGGGTGGGGACTTGAGTAGCAGATACCAGATGAAGAGGACTGGCGCCTTGCTCTAATATTCCTACTGGGTCCAGTCTGGGGACCTATGGCTATAACAAGATCTTTTTATTGTTTTAATAATTAAGCCCCTTTTAGTTAGTGATCCAAAATTGGATGTTATTCCGCTGTACAGAAAACTCTATTTATTAATTAGTGTGTTTTTATACTCAATGCTTGCCTTATGGTGACGATCCATTGATTTTCATTTAAATATTTGTGGTTTTTCTAGTCTCTCTGTGCTTCAAATCCTGGCTTTACCATTCATGAAACAGAATGGAAAATATATCTATTAAGAATCAGATTTGAGGGCGGGCCCTGTGGCTTGGTGGTTAAGTGCACGCGCTCCGATGCTGGTGGCCCGGGTTCGGATCCCGGGCGCGCACCGAGGCACCACTTCGCCGTCCATCCTGAGGCCGAGTCCCACGTACAGCAACTAGAAGGATGTGCAGCTATGACATACAACTATCTACTGGGGCTTTGGGGGGAAAATAAATAAATAGAATCTTAAGAATCAGATTTGAACTTGTTAAAAAAAGCTTAGAAATCTCTGTAGTCTTTAAGTGCTTTTTAACAGTGCTTTGAAATGATGAATTGCTTTGTTCACCCATCAGTGAAATATTTATACATTTTCATATTTTAAAAATAGTAGATTCAGTAATCAATTATTAAAGGTATGATTAATACATGAAATCTTTTAATCAAGATCAAAGAAATTTACAATCTTTTTAAGGCTCACTTGAAGCTCAAAATATTAGGTACTTATTTTATGTGACTTCTTTGCTAAATTCACTTTAAAATGACTTAAAAATCACTTGGACTTTATTTTTCTTTCAAATGATCTTTTTCTCCCAGTCCTCTAAAATGGGGGTACCCTAACCTTGGGTGCAATTAGTGTATTCAAGTTTTAGTGACTTCATTCATTCAATCATAAATTATAAATAGAAAAAAAGTATATGTTTTCTAAGATCTATCTCGGCACATAATGCTTTGATGAGGTTAGGATTTCGAAATGCCGGTTTTCACGTCACAAGCCCTTCAGCGTTTAAAGAGTTAAATACGGGCTTGGCTGCTGTCCTGGCCGGCGAAGCCCCAGGGGCTCGGGAGCCCCCGGCCTCCGCAGCCAGCGCTGGGGCGGACGGACCCCGGAGGGCCGGAACCGCCGCGCTCCGCCGAGGGGCGGCGCCAGCCCGGCTTCCCCGGCGAACACGCCCCTGCGGGCGGCGGCGCCGCGCCTCTTCGCCGGGCACCCCCGCGGCCTCGGGTAGTTTCTCCTGATGATGCAAACGCTCACTTCCCGCATCTACTTCCCACAGAGGCCGCCGAGCCGACGGGAGCCGGGCGCGCCGCCGAGCCGGGCGCCATGGGCAACATCCAGAAGAAGCTGACCGGCAAAAGCGAGGGCGGCAAGCGGCCGGAGAGGGGCGCGCCGCGGCGGG